AAGAGGCCTTTCTGGACTCTCCTGGTGGAACATAATCAAAATAATATGATGATTGTTGAATTAAGAGACGGATAAAGCTTCTCTTGTAGAGGAAGACGAGGACAAGGTCCTACAATTACTGTAATTTTTGTATTATTTATTACTTTTAAATTAAATGTTTACATTTAAATTGCATAACTTCATTTGATATCAGATTTTTTTTTATCTCTTTATTTATAAAGGGATATATAATATATATATATATATATATATATACACAAGTTCAAATCAAACCAAGGACATAAAAAGAACAACAGATAAAGTGGTAGAGGGGGAGAAAACAATGACAATGACTCCTGACAGTAACACCAGCATACTTAAAAATATAACTAAATAATGATCATTAACATTACACATGAAAACAATAAACAGAATTACATAAGAACATATTAACGGGTTGGGTCTGGATTTGACTTGGAGATAATTGTGGGTAATGGGTTGGTTGAGAGCTCTGCAGATGTGGGTTTGACTCTAATTGTCTTTTAGAAACTGTTTATAACAATGAGTCAATTTGATAATAATACTTAAGTTGCAGAGGAGAGGACAGATACAGGGCAGAAGTCAGTGCTGTAGATACAGGGCAGAAGTCTCTATTGGCTATAATAGTAACAATGATGATATTTTTAATTAACTTTATTTCATAAGTTTTAGTGAATTACACTAATTTGACACAATTAGTGGCACTCATTGTTATCTGTCACTTCAACAACAACATTTAAACAAAACCTTAAAAATATTAGACAAAGAAAATTAAACTCTTCATCAGCAGATAGAGTTCACTCAGGTGTCATGGAGATGTTTTTAGTTGCACCAAATAACTCAAAGTGACTTTCTTCTTTCAGACTTGATCTCAGTTTTCTGGTCTCTGGTTGAAGGATCAGGGATCAGAGACCTCCATCATGGCTATCGCTGACCAGCTGCTGGAGCAGATGTTCTCCTGGCTCGAGCAGAGGGAGCGCTGTGCAGAGAAACTGAGGAAACTGGCCAAGGAGCTGGAGTCACTCAGGGAGAATTGTAATGCTGCAGAATGTGCTGGAAGCACATATGCTGTGGTTGGAGCATTATCTCTGATCGGGGCCGGCATGGCCACTTTGTTCACCGGCGGAGCAGCTGCTCCACTTTTAGGTGTGACAGGAGCAGTGTTTTCAGGTGCAGGTGTCACCATATCTGTGGCTTCTAAAATCATTGAGGGTTTCTCATCCAGCGACACCATGAAAGATGCGCAGAGGATAGAAGAGAAGAGCAACGAGGTTGCAGAAGAAATCCAGAGACTGTTTGAGAGACTGAGGGCGAACAGTTCCTCTGCAGATCCGGATGAAGTGGACCGACACGTCATGACTGAAATTCTGAGAGCCATGGCCAGACGCAATGGACTGGAGGGGCAAATAAACACCCAGACTTTTTTTGATAATATACACATGAGGTTTAACCTGAGCTTCTCGAATTCTGAACTGACAATTGGACTTGCTGGTATTTTAAGTTTTTTCACATTGAAAACTATTGGGAATGAATTTAAACATTTGTTTGATAAAGGAGCCAACGAACTGATCAAACAAGTGGCTAAAACTGGGTTTAAAAACGTCCTTAAAGGAGGAGCCAAGGTAAGATTCAGTAACTATACAAAGCATTGTTTCCTTTTTTAGAGATAAATAAGAGTAGTAATTATTATTTTACTTATTTTACTTTTCAAGCTTCATGCTTTCCAGATTAAAACATATAAAGGATAAAAATTACAGTCAGAGTCACATGTGTTTTCCTTGAGGCTGACAGTCTGATAATATTGAAACTTAATCACGTATTGATCCATATTCATGATCAGGTTGTGGGAGGAGCTGTCGGACTGGCGTTTGAACTTCCTGAGGCGATCGACAACTGGAAAGACCTGATCGAAAAGAATCATGTGACTAAAGCCAGCCAATCACTGAGAGATACAGCTGACGCCATTCTAGAGACCTGCCGGAAACTGAGGGAACAGTTTGACAACATCAGGTATGAAGTTTTCTGTGATTGACCACCCAGAAACTGTCCTCCTGTAGATCTGAGAACAGCAGCTGGACTTGGTTTGGATTCATGTCACTTAGACTGGATTCAAATACTGACTGGTTGTCATACTCCAAACAGTGACTAGCAACAAATAACAACCTCTTAACATCCACAAAGCTGTAAAAATGTCCTATGATCAGTCCTCAAAATTATTTCACCATGCACAAATTATGACTTTTACATGGATGAGAGTGTTTTACATGGACCTTATTTTAGGGTAAAATTAGCTTGTTGCACTTTGTGGTTTCTTGAATCATGCTAACTGTGTGTTCACTTGTCACAGGAGGATGTTTGAAGAGATGGCTAAAAGTAAAAGAGAACTTACTTCACAGCATGTTGTACCTCAGCAAGAACCACAGGAAGACATGACACCTATGCAGAACACATGGCCAAAGTCAGTCCTGATAGTAGGGTTACAACCCTTTACTTCTTGGGCTCAAACTCCCCATTTTCATGTAGCCTCTACTCATGGTCTCCAGTCAGTGATTACACCAGTCCATCCAGTGCCCAAACAGCTCGGGGTCCGTAGGCTCCTTACTTCACGGCATGTTGTACCTCAGCAAGAAC